TGCGTCTGCACTCTGACAGAGGTGGTGAGTTTTCCTCCGATCTCTTGAGGACCTTCTGTCAGGCGGAGGGCATCGAGCAGACCTTCACGCTTCCGGACTCCCCACAGCAGAATGGGGTTGCTGAGCGCCGCATTGGCCTGGTCATGGAGGTCGCTCGTACCTCCTTGGTCCACGCGGCGGCTCCCCATTTTCTGTGGCCGTTTGCTGTCCGGTACGCCGCGCATCAGCTCAACCTCTGGCCCCGTGTCTCCTTGCCGGAGACCTCGCCCACACTGCGTTGGACGGGGGAGGTTGGCGATGCGTCGCGCTTCCGGGTGTGGGGTGCTCGTGCCCTTGTCCGCGATACGTCCGCGGACAAGCTCTCCTCCCGCACGCTTCCCTGTGTCTTCCTTGGCTTTGTCCCTGACGCGCCTGGCTGGCAGTTTTACCACCCCACCTCGCGCCGGGTCTTCGCCTCTCAGGATGTCACCTTTGACGAGTCGGTCCCTTTTTACCGTCTCTTCCCCTACCGCACTGCCCCCCTCCCTCCCCCGCCGCTTTTCCTTGCTCCTGGTCCCCCTCCGGTAGACCCCCTTCCCCCTCAGGGTCCTGCTCCTTCAGGTGTCTCTCTGAGCCTGTCGAGTTCACAGGTGACTCAGGTGCTGCTGCGGGTGGTGCTGCTGGGAGTGCTGAGCCTGGGGGTGCTGAGCCTGGGGGTGCTGGGCCTGGGGGTGCTGGGGCTGCAGGTGCTGGGACTGAGGGTGCTGGAGCTGAGGGTACGGTGCCTGAGAGTACGGAGCCTGGGGGTGCTGAGCCTGGGGGTGCTGAGCCTGCGGGTGCGGGGCCTGGGAGTGCTGGGACTACGGGTGCTGGAGCTGAGGGTACTGTGCCTGAGAGTTTGCCGCCTGGGGGTGCTGAGCCTGGGGGTGCTGCGACTGGGGGTGCTGAGCCTGCGGGTACTGAGCCTGGGGGTGCTGCTACTGAGCCTACGGAGCCTCGGGTTACTGCGTCTGGGGGTGCTCCGGTTCGGGGTGCTGAGCAGTCTCTCACACCGCAGCAGCTTCGTGACTGGTACGTCCGGCGCTTTCGCCGTCCTAGTGGCTCGGCTGGAGTTGGGGGTGCTGGGGCTGCTCGTCCTGGGGGTGCTCGTACTGGGGGTACTGGAGCTGCCGGGACTGGTTGTTCTGGGAGCACTGCGACTGGAGCTGCTGGAGCTGGGGACTCTGGCGCTGGCGGTGCTAGCGGAGTTGGAGCTGCCGACTCTGGGGGTGGCGCTGCTGCTGGTGCTGCGGACCCGCCTGGTGGAGCTGCTGCTGGAGCTGAGGACCCGAGCGGTGGCGCTGCTGCTGGTGCTGGGGACCCGGACGTTGGAGCTCCTGCTGGTACTGAGGACCCGGCCGCTGGAGTCTCTTCTGCTTCTGGAGACGCTGCGCGGCCGCGACCGTACTTCGTACCGCTCCTTCAGCAGGTTCTTGGGCAGGCTCCTCCTCCTTGTCCTCCTCCCTCCGTAGAGTGTCCTCCGCCTGTCCAGCCGCAGTCACAGTTACCGCCTGCCTCGCCTCTCCCTGCTCCCTCTCCTTACGCTGGTCCCACAGGAGGTCTTACAGAGCGTCGTGAGCCTGAGTCTCGTCCTGTGTCGCCTGTTCGTCTTGCTCGCACTGGTAGTCGTGTCCGTCGTGAGCGTCCTCCTCCTGTCCCAGGCACTCACTACATGACTCTGCGTCCCTCTACTGCTCCTCGGCGTGTCCCTCTACCGTCTCCTCCTGCGTCCTCTTTGCCTGCCGTTCCGGACCCTGAGTCTGACCGGTATCGCGCTGAGCACCCTACAGTCACGCGTCTCCTCGCTACTGTTGTCACTGACCCTACCTTTGAGTCCTCGGCTGCGTCTGCTCTGGTCGCTGAGTTGGTTGACTTTGCTGCTGCCTGTCGTCTAGACTACGCTGCTAGCCTTGTTGCTGAGTCAGAGTCTGCGTCTGTCTGTCCTCCGTCCGTCGGGGGTGAGTGTGCTCTTGGCACGGACGTCCTTGAGGACAGGCAGGAGGACTTTGACTCTCTTGCGGCTGCTGTACCTCATCTCGTGGCCTGGTTGCTTGCCCCTGAGGGAGACCCGGATGCACTAGACATCCCCACTCCGCGCACTTACGCAGAGGCGATCTCGGGTCCCTACTCCTCTCAGTGGCAGACAGCCATGGACGCAGAGATGGCATCCTGGAAGTCCACAGGCACCTACGTCGACGAGGTTCCCCCTCCTGGGGCGAACATCGTCGATGGCATGTGGATTTTCAGGGTGAAGCGGCCGCCAGGTTCTCCGCCTGTCTTCAAGGCTCGTTACGTTGCTAGAGGCTTCAGTCAGCGTCAGGGGGTCGACTTCTTCCAGACCTTCTCCCCCACCCCGAAGATGACCACTCTTCGGGTTCTGCTGCACGTTGCTGCTCAGCGTGACTACGAGCTTCACTCTCTTGACTTCAGCACAGCGTTCCTGCAGGGCAGCCTGCACGAGGAGATCTGGCTGCGCCGCCCACCTGGCTTTACTGGGTCGTTTCCCCCTGGTACCCAGTGGAGTCTCCGCCGGCCAGTCTACGGTCTCCGCCAGGCGCCACGTGAGTGGCACGACACACTGAGGACTACACTTGCGGCTCTTGGGTTCGCGCCGTCTACTGCTGACCCGTCGCTGTTTCTGCGCACAGACACGTCGCTGCCGCCGTTCTACATTCTCGTGTACGTCGACGACTTGGTCTTTGCTACTGCTGACACTGAGGCACTCGCTCGTGTGAAGTCGGAGCTGCAGAAGAGACACACCTGCACTGACCTGGGTGAACTGCGTAGCTACCTTGGCTTGCAGATCACCCGGGACAGAGCTCGCCGCACCATCACCCTGACTCAGTCACACATGGTGCAGCAGGTCCTTCAGCGCTTCGGCTTCCAGTTCTCCTCACCACAGGCCACACCTCTGGCTACCAGCCACTCGCTCTCAGCTCCACCTTCGGACGAGTCCGTAGAGCCGAGTGGCCCGTACCCAGAGCTTGTAGGCTGCCTCATGTACCTGATGACTTGCACGCGACCTGACCTCGCGTACCCTCTTAGCATCCTTGCTCGTTACGTTGCGCCTGGGAGACACAGGCGAGAGCACTGGGAGGCTGCTAAGAGGGTGCTGCGTTACCTGTGCAGTACATCAGGCATGGGGCTGGTGCTTGGAGGACGTGACAGAGTTGTCCTCACTGGTCACTCGGACGCTTCTTGGGTGGACGACCTGGCTACGCAGCGGTCGTCACAGGGTTACACCTTCAGCCTTGGCTCTGGTTCTGTCTCGTGGCGGTCCACCCGCTCTTCCTCTGTTCTCGGCTCTAGTTGTGAGGCTGAGATCTACGCCACAGCCATGGCTGCACAGGAGTTACGCTGGCTCACCTACCTGCTGACTGACTTGGGAGAGCGGCCTAGTTCTCCTCCAGTTCTGTACGGTGACAACAAGGCGGCTCTTGCCTTGTGTCAGGAGCACAGACTGGAGCACAGGACGAAGCACATTGCTCTTCGCTACTTTCTTGCTCGAGAGCTTCAGCAGCGCGGTCAGCTTCGGCTTGTGTACGTGGACTCGAAGGCCAACACTGCTGATATCTTCACCAAGGCGCTCTCGCCTAGTGATCATCAGCGGCACTGTACTTCTTTAGGCCTTGTGTCCACGTTTCCTCACTTGCTCACTGCTTGACATTCTTTGTACTGTACTTTATATATATCTTGTTGCTTGCTTGCTAGGTTTTGATCACTGTGTTGCTTGTCTTGTACTATATCTAGCACTGCATGTGAACTGGCCTTGTGGCCTTTTACTTGTGCTCGGAGTGTGGTGACGTTGTGATCCACCCTGGGCTTTGCTTTGCTTTGCTGGACTGGTCTTGTGACCCTTTGTTCTCCCCCACTTTGCCTATGGGGGTGTGTTAAACTGTATTATGCTTGTAGGCTGTAGTGGGGTAGCCAATATGGGGTACAACCCCAACTAGGGTTTCATATTTGTACCCAAACTTCTGCTAGTTCAATCATTCTTGCCTAGCTATTCTGAAAACCCAGGCCTGCTATAAACAATAACTGGTGTTTTCAATATAATACCATACAGGGCCCAAGATATCAGGGCAAAACATCCTGATTACCCTGATTTCAGGATGGTGTTTTAAGTTTGCCCTGGAATTTCAGAATGACGCTGAAATTTACCCTGCAACGTCAGGATGATCCATGTGTTTTGCCCTAAAATTTCAGAATAACAGTGAAATTTTGCCCTGAAGCGTTAGAGTGAATGTAGAGGGATGCCCTGACTCGTGGGAAGGGGAGAAGGGGTGGAGGGGGAGAGGGAGAGAGGGGAGGAAGGAGGCTGTCCCCACCCCTCCCCCACCAATGTTTTTGCTCAGCCAGCAGTGAAACCAGTGAGCAACCTGCTCCTTTCGTGACTTCCCCTCCATCCTCTTTAGTGCCTTGTATTTTTCGCCCTGAATCATTCGGATGAATTTCTGCTGGTGCCCTGAAATTTCAGGATGGCCAGGGAATTTTGCCCTGGAAAATCAGGGCATTTCAGAAAATTTTCAAAACTTACCCTGAGGGCTCAGGGTGCCCTAAATCCTAGCACAGGCCCTGATACCATACCACATCATGCAATCAAACTAAACCAAGTACTGTAGTCCCGCCCCCCTCATCCTACCCCTTCCACATACAAAACAGATCACGCAGCAACATTTACATCACTGCTGGGCTGTACCAGAGAGGCGCACATGCTCCAGTGCGAGCGCACACGCAAGACAACTTTACACATACTGTACACAAACTGCACATCGCCTACCCAACGGAAACATCTACCTACCTACATCCAGGGTCTGCATGAGTAGATGTACATGCCCCTTGAAACACTCATCCTCGTGAACTCAGGAAATGGTCATGATTGCATACACCGAAAACATTCCTTCAGACGGAACACGCACAGTACATACACAGACATGAGAGCACCTTGAACAGCCAAACCAACCCCCCATGCATGCAACACTCTAGCGCACTGCAACATCCCTGCTGTGCCTATGCAGAGGCACGCGCACCCTGAAGCACTCAAACTCCTTGTCCTTGGAGTAGAGGCAGTGCCCACGGCGACAGCCCAGGCGGCAGCAGAGGCGGGGACACGCCGATATGTACAGGCAGTCGTTGGGTTTGTCCACTGTAATGGAGAGGCCGTTAAAGAGTACGCACTCGCTGATGACATCAGCAGCGGCCAGCTTCTCCATGATCATGATGGCCTGCGAAAAGGAGAAAGTAGAGAGCAGGATAAGAGAGGACGTGTGGAACGTGATGAGTGTACAGGAATTTCAAACCTGCTGATGACATCAGTGTCAGCAAGTTTCTCCATGCTCATGATGGCCTGTTGTGAAAAGGAGAAGGTAGAGAGCAGGAAAGGCGAGGATTTGTGGAATAGGATGAGTATGCATGAATTCCAGACTCGCTGATGACATCAACGGCAGCCAGCTTCTCCATAATCTTTATCGCCTGTAGGAAAAGAAGTGCAAACATGGCACGGTAGAGAGCAGGAATAAAGCGGAAAGGGAGGAGGTAGGGAGCAGAAGGTAGGAAGCAAGGGGGTTAGGGGCAGGGGGTTGGGAGGCGGAATGAGACGTAAGAAAGTATAATAAAGAAAGAAGCAAAGAACGTACCTTGATTTCCGCTGCAAACAGGGCGAGCTTAGGGTCATGCAGGAGCAGATTCAGCAGCAGCTGGTCGTCCAAGCGCGCCTTGGCCTTGGCGAGCGGCACCAGGAACGTGTGGCTCCGCAAACAAAAAAACAGAACATACCTTAATCTCCGCAGCAAAGGGCGCAAGCTTGGGGTCGTGAAGGAGCAGATTGAGAAGCAGCTGATCATCTAGACACGCCTTGGCCTTGGCGAGCGGCACCAGGAACGTGTGGTTCCGCAGGCTGATCTCTGAGAACAGCAGCGGCGGCTCCTGCTGAGAATCCACGAACACCCCCACGCACACCTCGCCTAGCTTCTCCGACTGCACGCACTTATGCCAGACTAGTTCCGCGTCTTCTAAGGCTTTCTTTCTCGCGTCTTCGGCGCTATCGAGATCGTTTTCCTCGTCGGAGGCTTCGTCAGCAGCGGATTCGGCGGCGTGTGCGGCCACGTCGGTCGCGGCGTCCGTGGCAGCGCTCGCCACGTCAGCAGCTGCGACCGCCGCGACGGCGTCAGCGGGACCCGCGCCTGCCACGTCAGCAACACCGTCCACAGCCTCGGTTCCCAGCACCATCGCTCCTGCGCCAGTGACAGCTGGCACTGCTGCTGCTGCTGCTGCTGCTACTGCAGCATCTGCTGCTGTCTCAGCAACTGTTGTGCCAGCTAATTCACTGCTTGCTGTTGCCGCCGCTTCTGCTGCGGATGCACCCTCGTCCGCGATCGCGCGTGCTTCGTTCGCCGCCATAACCGCGTCTGAAGCCAGCTCGCCTAGAATGTCCTTCTGACTACCACTCGTACTGGCTCCGGCAGTCGGTTTAGGTTTCGGATTAGCCGAGACCTGCTTAGGTGGGAGCGTTGCTTGGGAATTTGCCGGCTGTTGCACAGCTGTCTGCTGCTCCATCTGAACGAGAGACCTGTGAGAGGAGTGTTTGGATAGAGCGCATAGAAAGAGATACATATATGTTAGTCGTATCCAAGAAAAAAATTATAAAAGCGGTTCGGGAATCTGTGGGGTGTTGCTGGAGTGCGGCCAGATCTATCTGAACGAGAGTTCTGTGGGCGTGTCGAGATAGAGCGAAAAGCAATGGCTAAAACGGCCATTCATCAAGGAACACAGACCGGTGAAGGAGAAGCGCGGATAAGACACATTCAGCGACAGGTCGAATCATGCAGCAGCATTCTGAGCAAAAAAAAAACAGCGGAGAGACCAAGCCTGCTGGGACGTACCGAACGGCGAACGAACGCGGCGCAGAAATTAATATAACGACGAGAACGAGCAGCAGGGAAGAACGGCGCGCCATGGCTGACAAATGCTAATAACCTTCAGGTTCTGCTCAGGGAATTTCAGCACATTCCTGGGCAGCACCACTTGAATTTGTTGCTCCCTTGTGCCTATTTCTGCTCCGCTGAGCTTGTCCCTAGTTTGTTTCTCCCAGAAGAGTCGTCGTCGTCCTCATCGTCATCCTCGTGCTGCCTGCTTGCCCCTCTTTCACATTCTTTCGGGTGTAAAATCCCGAGGTCGATGTACGAGGGGCGAGGGGGAGGGGCAAGGGGGAGAAGTGTGAAGTGTGCGGGAGGGGGAGGAAAAAGGGGAGAAGTGTGCGGGAGGGGGATGAGCACTTTTCGAACAAAAAGGTGGAGGGGGAGTACCGAGCCGAGATCGGACAGAGAATGCAGCTCGCCACAGTTTGAGCAGCACTGTTATGGTGCGGGTTTGATATAACGTGCCCGGCCGGCCAGTGTGAGTGAGTGACAAAAACGAATTGACGCTGGGTCGTTCATACGGCGCGGCTCGGGAAAAACCCCGCCCACGCCTTGGGATGCACGGGGCGCGGAGACATCGGGGGACGCGTGAGGCAAAGTCGGCCCTCCAGAAATCCACCAGTTTTGGACCTTGCGCGGCCCTGCGTGGCTCAGTGAAACCCACCAGGTTTCCACCGAAAGCTCCGCGACCCCCCCAAAAACCGAAAGAACCCACCTCGTTCTTACGCGCCGATGCATGCGCGACTCGGGAAAAAACCAACGCGATTGGTCAACAGACCTTGACAGGCAGGGCATTCCGCGCATGCAACTGCACGAGCGGGAAAAACAGGAGTGCTACCATTGGGTGCAAAGTCTCGCATCAAATCGCGAACCGAATTCGCCCATCGATAGGCTTGGGAAACGCGACGCAACACCCGGTTCGGAAACACCTGGCGCGATCTGGTAGGCTCCATGCTGACTGACACGTGCAGCACATTGAACGAGCCACACAGCTGTCGCTGTTTGGTCGAGCCGCGATCGCAGTAACGTGTCATGCACGTCCACGCGGTGGCCGGTCATTACTCCCAGCATGCCCACATTTTCGCTTTCCGCACGCCAGTTGCACCACAGGCTCCTCCCTCTCATGCCACACTGGAGTCACCTGACCTGACGGGAAACGGGACACTAGTGCCGCGTTAGCGATGTGGGCCGCGTTCGAGAGCCTGTGAGCACCACGGTCGCGTTGTACAGAGTACACTTCACACCCGGTTGTCACATTAGCGATCGCGCGTCATGTTGACGCACGCGGTTTATAGGAGTAGGGGCAATGTCGCACGCTGCATGCATACCGTGAATTGCGTCGCGGCGCCAATCCTTGAAGCCTCCGTCAATGCTTCGGCTAATCCTTCCGCGGCCGAAATCCATAATGCAGATCCGCCAAGCGCTCCCGTGGCCAACATGCACGCGCACATCCCCACATGGAGCACCCCACACGTGCAGCCTGTGGTTTTTGGCACGCGTTTGCCCGCGTTTCACCCACAGCAACTGGTCAACGGGATCCACCTAGCACCGCGGACACAGATACCGTTTGCATCGGCGACGGTCGCGTTCCATGCCCAGCAGGATGATTTGAACTCGCGTGGAGTACCCACGCCGCATCCCGGACAAAGGCTAGCTGAACACCAGACCGCGTACGCGTCCATGCCCTCAAGCCAACTCTTTGGGATGCCCGTGCGTGGCTTCGTAGGGCCGCAGTACGGGAATGTGGGATTCAGGTACGGGTACATCGGCGTTCAACCGGACCCCATGCTGAACGCGCCCGAAGCTGTCGCGACGCCTCCGGTCGCGCCGTCAACCCCATTCCCCAGCGCGATTCAACCGGAAATCCAGGCACCAGTGCAAGCCCCGCGTGACCGCATAGAACCATTACAGATGGGTGTGGACACCCCTGCGCGTGCAGACGGCCCTTCGACGGTCGCGGTTCCCGATGGTTCAGTGCGTGCGGAGAATGTTGGTGCGGGGATGAATGCCAGCGCGCGTGCACATTCGCCGCCAATTTGGAACGTGAACTCGCTGTTGCCGGGAAACCCGGACGTCCACATCCGCACCCCCGCGCAACCGACCGCAGCGGACGAGAACTGTGAAGGTGAACAACCACAGGCGAACGCGCGGAACGCGGTACGAGGAGCGCCTGCTGGTGGTAACGCGGGAAGCGGAAGAGGGACTGGTGCAAGGGGTAACGCGGGAAGAGGAAGAGGTGCAGCTGCGAGAGGGAACGCGGGAAGAGGGACAGGTGAGAGTGCGAGAGGTGCTAGAGGAAGGGGTGGGAGAGCGAACGCGGGACGTGGGACCGGTGTGGGACGGAACGGAGGTAGTGCGAACGGGCGGAGCGCGCCTGGGGTGTTAGGCAACGGAGGCAGAGAAACCGGTGGTAACGCGAGCGGAGGTACCGGGAACGTCCCAGTCAGTAGACCGCAAGTAAGGAGGCGGCGAGTCGAAGTCGCGCCTCACACGGCACGCCTCGGATCACGAGAGGGTAACGAGGGGGAAAGCGATGAGGATGACGAGGAGGACGCTGAAGATGAGGAAGATAGTTGGAATGAAGATGACGAAAACTACCTCTCTAACTCGTTGTCCGCGCTCAACGAGGGGGAGGAGGAAGACAACGAACGAGTGCGGGGTACGCGAACGGATTTGGAGGTTCCCATCGCGGATTGGAACCGGCTTGGTGTGGACGACACGCCGGCCGCGAAAAAAGAGGTGTGCATGGGCATCCTCTACGGTGTCTCTGAAGCCACGCTGAAGAAATATCGCGGTTGGGCAAGAGAGTACAAGCTCTTCATGGCGCACGAGCTGCCGAAGCTGGACGCGAATAGGTTCGGTGAGGAGGCCGCGTTGGAAAACGCGAACCCCGACGAGATCGGGGCCGCGCTCGAGCAGGACATGGGTGCTGACTGGAAGATGGCGAAGGGCGACGAGCAGTGGTTCCACGGCCCTGAGACGAATCCGTGGAGGTTACGCAAATACGTGACCTTCCTCGCGAACGAGACGGTCGCCCAGGCGGACAGGATGGCCACACTCAAGCGGCCCGACAAGACCCTGAAGAAGAGACGCCAGTGCTCCCCTGCAATGCTGATGGGGCGTCTCAAGGCTCTGAACATGCTCATCAAGCTGGACGGGGCCATCTTCAGGAAGCCGGTTCTGAATCTCCTGCGCGACTTTGCGGAGTGTCGCATCTGGGTCCGCGTTCAAGTCCGCGACCAGTACAAGCGGTTCATCGCGTAAGTATACGTACTCAGTGAACGCGAATGTCCGAGTTTACCGCGTTCGTACAGAGGCTCACAATCGTGGAACGGGTTTGATGCAGGGAACACATGGATCGCCATCGGGGCACGGCCGCGGACACGTACAACCCGGACGAGTTCAAGAAGATGATGCGGAAAACCAGCATGGCCGCCATCGTGAGCAGCTTCACACTAGCCAAGCAACAGTACACGCAGGCAATGCATCGCGACCTCTGCATCAGGACGATGACGGTCCTCGGTCATCACACACTAGCTCGCGGGTGCACGATCCGAAACCTCCAGCTTCCAGACATGATGATGTGGAAGATGGGCGCAAAATCCGAGACGGATCCAGTGCGGAATGCGTTCGCGTTTGTGTGCGCGTGCAGGACGGGCAAGACAAACAAGGACTTCTCGCTCAACTACATCTCGGCAGTGAGACACATTGATTGGACTCTGTGCGCGGTCGGAGCCACGCTGCTATGGCTGCACTGGGTGTACGACTTGGTCCCTATCCTCTACGGGGACATAGCCCCCCCTCTCGACTTCACGGAACCTTCGACGTGGTACGACCAGTACCTCTTCTTCCCCCTTCGCGCGGGCACCGAGAAGCAGATACCGCCCACGACTCATCACGACTGGGCGGCGAAGATTCTGGGGGACGCGGGAATCACATGCTCGCGTGTCGTTCACGCGACTAGAGCTGGAGGGGCTCAGCACGCGGCCGCAGACGAAATGCCGTCGGATCAGCTGGCGAGACTGGGGGGGTGGCGCTTCATCGACGTGATGACTAAGCACTACCTCACAACTATTCCGAGGGAGGCCGTGCTCCTGAAGGCTGGCTTCACAGGGGTTGATGGTGACTACTTCCTGGGTCGCGCAACAGTTCCACCGAGCGAGGCGCTGGAGAAGCTGATGAAGAAGCACATCTTCCCATGGGCCGCCGAGGACAAAGGGCAGAAACAGGTGGGTGTGGGCCGCGCATAGTAGTATCAACACACCGCGATCATTCCACATAAACCCCTAAACTATCGCGTTGTTGTGTTGCACAGTGCCATGATTACAACAGCAAGATGGTCAAAGAGAAGAAGCCGGAGAAGCAGGACACCGCGGGTCTAAACATACTGAAGGAGCTGAATGGGGAGGCTAGAATGGTGGTCGCACAAGACCTGGCCATGTATTACATACACCAGCCGCGACACCCGTACGTGGTCAACAACCCGCTCTGCCAGACAGAGGAATTTGCGCGGTGGGCAGCAGATGTCTCCTTGGCAAATCAGCTGGCCATAGTACAGCGAAACACCCCTACACTGACCCAGCCCGCGGTGCGTACTGTGTGGTCGCGTTACTAGTTCGGCTGTAATGTCAATGCGTACCCATCACATTTTACGCGTTCGCGTTCTGTGTATGCAGGAGGTCAGTACCAGGATGGACGCGCAGAACCAAGTGGCCTGCCTCACTGAGTACCTGACACGTTCACAAGCGGACAACACCAGGTTGGCCGTAGAGCTGGCCGCGATCCAGAGACGGGTGAAAGAGCTGGAGGGGCTGCTGGAAGATCGCGACCGGAGGCTGGCTGAGAAGGACGAGCGCGTGAACGACCTGGAAGCCCAGCTGTCGCGTCTCACCGTGAGCAGCTCAGGGCCGACCGCGGATCCGAGACCGGCAAACACTCCTGGAGCCGCGGCCGCGCCCACCAATTCCGCAACCCCCACCGACCAGGGGACGCGTAAGAAGCCAGCACAGCCGACCAGGGATGAGACTATTCGGGACACGATCATGAAACCATGGGTGAACGCGACCAAGCCGTCGGACGGATGGAAGCTGTACAAGTCCACGCACGCGCTGGTAGGCGAGAGTCCAGAGTCGCTACTGGCCCAACCCCGTGGTGCAGTTACGCGAATGGGCGAGCTCATGGGGAAGGAGAAGGGCGGCCAGAACGCCGCCCAGAACGCGATAAACCGTGTGAAGCGAGTCATGGACTTCATCTCCCGCAGGGTGGAGCAGGGAGACAACATCGACGTCGTGCTCGAGAAACTCGACAACGTGTCCCGATCTGTGGGCATGTCGGGTGTGTCGGAAGGGATCGCGGTGAAGAAGAAGAGTGTTGACTCGTCGCTGAGCGAGCTGAAGAAGGGTACCCCTGCGGAGGTGCAGTTGCGGGTTAAATGGATGCTTGTACGCGACCGCCTCATCGATGCCTCGCTTCCCGTGTCTGAGTTTCCGGTCGCGTGGCTTCAGTACTGTGACCAGATGCCTCCGCTAGCTTAGTGCGTGCAGATCGCGACCGCGGGACATGGTTTGTCAGGCTGCTGACTTCATGTGTTTGTAATGTAGGAGAGTGTGGACCAATGGTTTTCTAATGTTCAACGTACGACATGTGTGTGGTTCCCATTGAAACGCGTTCGAAAAGTGCGAGATGCAGACCAGGAATGGTTGTTCAAGCTTGTTTTTCGCGGTTCCCGTCCGCGGTAGTCATGATTCTGTCTTCAAGCACATATTGATCCAAGTCAGCACTATGTTCTCACGCTAATACACACACACAAACACACACGACATACTACATGCACACATGTCCGCAACATGAACAACAATCCACCGCGAGTAGAACTCAAGCAGGGTGGACAGGCTGCGCACACGCGACGCGACACTACACGCACTCAAGTCCGCTTCTTAAGACGATCCTTGGGCAGGGCAAGGTAAAGCCCAATGGACTCCATGACCTTCCCCGCAACCGAGCAGTCGCACCAGATGATGATAACGTCCACCGTTTCGCGAGCAGCCATCTCAATGTGCCTGAGGTCGCGAGACTTGGCGACGACGTCGTTCACGACTTCAGATGCAATCGCGTCCGCGACCACCCTCGGATCCGCGACTACCTTCGGCTCGTCGTCACCAGCTTGCTTCTCGCGAGAATTGCGCCGCCGCACAGCCCTGATGACGTACGCGGTTACAACGGGGAACAGACGGCATCGATCCCTCTGGCAGTTAACCGCTCGCGCGGCCAAATTGCCAGAATCCGACGCGGTCGAGACCGCCGAACCGCGCATCACCTCCCACACCATTGCGATCGCGCACGCGATCGCTCCCGCGTAATCCCGCGGATCCACATCGCGGTAGAGCTCCGTCTCTTCTGCTGCAGCCTCCGTGCCCACCACCGCGGCCCAAGCAATCTCGTTGGTGGTGGTCGATCCGGGCTGGGTCAGCTCGCGGTAGTGCTTGAACATGCGGGTCCACCTGCCACGCAGTGGGTGTAGCGGCCAGAACACGATAAACCAACCCCCCACCCCCAACATACACGACAGTATGAACGCGCTAGATGAATGTGAGATGGTGCCGCTCACCTTTCCCTGCTGGCCACGAGGTTGCGGTGATGCATGGTGATGAGGAGGCCCGTGTGTAGCCCCTCGGCAGCGGACAGGTCCGCGGCCCAATCCCTCATCTGCTTAGAGCTGAGGTGCAGCCCGGGATCCACCTTCAGGTCGTACGGCATCATCGCGATCGCGGTTTTATACTGCAGGTCGTCGCGCTCGCCTTGTCCAAGCCACCGCTTCTTCCCCCCCAGATGCGGTTCAGAAACCAAGCCAGGACCGCCCCTGGGAGGATGGTGGATACCACAGCCTTTGCGCTTGCTGACTGTGTCACCCTGTCCCCCCGTTGGCCCACTGGGCACGACCACGGTGTCTGCGTCCTGCTCGTCCGCGCTCTCCCCGCCGCTAAACAGTTCGACCGCATCCACCACACCCTGCTCTCCTCCGTCGCCCTCCTCCCCGACCCACCGGCTCGCGAGATTCTCGAGCTCCTCGTCCGCATCGTCCTCGTCGATGGTGTACACGGGTGGAGGGGGCAACTTTCTTGCCTCGCCCGCGTTTTTCCGTCTTGGCCTCTCCCGCGGCAGCGCTCGGACCTGCAGATGCCAGCGCGCTGTGCAGATGACCCGCGGTAATCGCGGGATGAGCGGGTGCGAGAGCGGTCTGCCTTCCCTCCGCCGCAGCAGCCGCCGCGGACTGCACCTCACGCCCCGCTGCAAGCGAACCCACAGCGGCCGGCACCTCTCCATCCTCCAACTTACCCTTGCCCTTACCCGCAGTGGTTGTCACTGTCGCGGTCGCCCCGGGAGGGCCCGGTGCTTTGGGTGCAGCTTCTCCAGGTGGGATGGAGCGCGAGCTCGACCCCGGTTGACCAGGCGGTGCAGCGCCTCGCGATGCAGCGCCCCACTTGTTCTTGAGGATGTCATGCACGCTCGGGTGGCGCACCGCGGCCGCTGCCTGAGGAACCCTCTACCTCTTCGCCCCCCTCTGAGTCTCGTGTCAAACATTGTATGTTTATATTGTGTAGGCTGTAGTGGGTTACACCTTAGGGGGTACACAAAGTTAGGGTTTCCTACTTGTACCAAACTCTGAGCTAGTTCATTCATTCCTCGTTCAGTTATTCTGACATGGTTTCAGAGCAGGTCCTTTGCTAGGACCGTTTTTTTTTTCGGGCCCACCTCTACTACCTACCTACCTACTGTCGGAGTGCTGCGTTAGCGCCTCCCCCTCCGCGCCTTCGTGCGCCCTCGTGTACGGCCCCTTAAGGCCCCGTCGACCCCGCACGCTGCCCCTTAGTGGCCCCGTCGCACCCGCGCGCGCCCCGATTCCGGCCCCGCGGCCCCGTCGACCCACCCGCGCGCACCTCGTTTAGCGGCCCCGCGGCCCCGTCGCCCCGTCGACCCTCACCTAGCGGCCCCGCGGCCCCGTCGACCCACCCGCGCGCACCTCGTTTAGCGGCCCCGCGGCCCCGTCACCCCGTCGACCCTCACCTTGAGGCCCCGCGGCCCCGTCGACCCACCCTTGACGCCCCGCGCGCACCTCGTTTAGCGGCCCCGCGGCCCCGTCGCCCCGTCGACCCTCACCTAGCGGCCCCGCGGCCCCGTCGACCCACCCGCGCGCACCTCGTTTAGCGGCCCCGCGGCCCCGTCGCCCCTCACTTAGAGGCCCCGCGGCCCCGTGCGCACCTCGTGTCGCGATCCCGCGGCCCCGTCGACCCACCCCTGGTGGCCCCGCGGCCCCGTGCACGCCCCGCCTAGAGGCCCCGCGACCCCGTCGACCTGTGCGCACCCCGCCTAGAGGCCCGCGACCCCGTCGACCTGTGCGCACCCCGCCTAGAGGCTCCGCCCCCGTCGACCCGTGCGCCCCCCGCCTAGAGGTCCCCGCGGCCCCGTCGTCCCCGCGCGCGCCCCGCATAGAGGCCCCGCTGGCCCCGTAGACCCCGCGCACCGCCTCTTCGCGGCCCCGTCGCTTCTACTGATACTGCTACTGCTGCTGCTGCAGCTGCTACCGCTACTACTGCTACTGCTACTGCTGCTACTATTATGGCTAGTCCGCCTGTACTCGCTTTCGATGCTGAGGGCCGTCCAGTGAAGTTCGAAACCTGGCTAGATGACCTGCATCTCTTCCTACAGCTCACTGCCAAGGAGGACATCTCACTGTACGATCATGCCCTCGGTCACGCTACTGCCCCTCCTACCACTGCAGACAGCACTCAGCGCTCACAGTGGCAGACTCGTGATGCCCACGCTCGCTTCGCCATTCGCAACTCCCTGCCACTAGATGAGCGCGAGCACTTTGGCCAGCACAAGACTGCTAAGGACCTGTACACTGCTGTAGTTGCTCGTTACTCCTCACCTGCCTCTGCCGCACTAGGCCGCCTCACCCTCCCCTACCTGTTCCCCGACCTGGCCTCCTTCAGCACAGTCGCTGACCTCTTCACCCACGGCACCACGCAAGCCTCCTCTGGGCCTCCGCTGGGGGCCTCAGCGTGGCATCAGCTGGCCGGCTGTGTGCGGCGCTTCCCTCCGCCCACCCGCCTGGTCTGCCACCCTCAACGCCCCCCAGCCAGCCTGGGCAAGGAGGGTGACGGATGGTGGCCCCTGGGCAAGGAGGGTGACGGATGGTGGCCCCTGGGCAAGGAGGGTGACGGATGGTGGCCCCTGGGCAAGGAGGGTGACGGATGGTGGCCCCTGGGCAAGGAGGGTGACGGATGGTGGCCCCTGGGCAAGGAGGGTGACGGATGGTGGCCCCTGGGCAAGGAGGGTGACGGATGGTGGCCCCTGGGCAAGGAGGGTGACGGATGGTGGCCCCTGGGCAAGGAGGGTGACGGATGGTGGCCCCTGGGCAAGGAGGGTGACGGATGGTGGCCCCTGGGCAAGGAGGGTGACGGATGGTGGCCCCTGGGCAAGGAGGGTGACGGATGGTGGCCCCTGGGCAAGGAGGGTGACGGATGGTGGCCCCTGGGCAAGGAGGGTGACGGATGGTGGCCCCTGGGCAAGGAGGGTGACGGATGGTGGCCCCTGGGCAGGGAGGGTGACGGATGGTGGCCCCTGGGCAGGGAGGGTGACGGATGGTGGCCCCTGGGCAGGGAGGGTGACGGATGGTGGCCCCTGGGCAGGGAGGGTGACGGATGGTGGCCCCTGGCCAGGGAGGGTGACGGATGGTGGCCCCTGGCCAGGGAGGGTGACGGATGGTGGCCCCTGGCCAGGGAGGGTGACGGATGGTGGCCCCTGGCCAGGGAGGGTGACGGATGGTGGCCCCTGGCCAGGGAGGGTGACGGATGGTGGCCCCTGGCCAGGGAGGGTGACGGATGGTGGCCCCTGGCCAAGGAGGGTGACGGATGGTGGCCCCTGGGCAAGGAGGGTGACGGATGGTGGCCCCTGGGCAAGGAGGGTGACGGATGGTGGCCCCTGGGCAAGGAGGGTGACGGATGGTGGCCCCTGGGCAAGGAGGGTGACGGATGGTGGCCCCTGGGCAAGGAGGGTGACGGATGGTGGCCCCTGGGCAAGGAGGGTGACGGATGGTGGCCCCTGGGCAAGGAGGGTGACGGATGGTGGCCCCTGGGCAAGGAGGGTGACGGATGGTGGCCCCTGGGCAAGGAGGGTGACGGATGGTGGCCCCTGGGCAAGGAGGGTGACGGATGGTGGCCCCTGGGCAAGGAGGGTGACGGATGGTGGCCCCTGGCCAAGGAGGGTGACGGATGGTGGCCCCTGGCCAAGGAGGGTGACGGATGGTGGCCCCTGGCCAAGGAGGGTGACGGATGGTGGCCCCTGGCCAAGGAGGGTGACGGATGGTGGCCCCTGGCCAAGGAGGGTGACGGATGGTGGCCCCTGGCCAAGGAGGGTGACGGATGGTGGCCCCTGGCCAAGGAGGGTGACGGATGGTGGCCCCTGGCCAAGGAGGGTGACGGATGGTGGCCCCTGGCCAAGGAGGGTGACGGATGGTGGCCCCTGGCCAAGGAGGGTGACGGATGGTGGCCCCTGGCCAAGGAGGGTGACGGATGGTGGCCCCTGGCCAAGGAGGGTGACGGATGGTGGCCCCTGGCCAAGGAGGGTGACGGATGGTGGCCCCTGGCCAAGGAGGGTGACGGATGGTGGCCCCTGGCCAAGGAGGGTGACGGATGGTGGCCCCTGGGCAAGGAGGGTGACGGATGGTGGCCCCTGGGCAAGGAGGGTGACGGATGGTGGCCCCTGGGCAAGGAGGGTGACGGATGGTGGCCCCTGGGCAAGGAGGGTGACGGCAAGGAGGGTGGTGGATGGTGGCCCCTGGGCAAGGAGGGTGGTGGATGGTGGCCCCTGGGCAAGGAGGGTGGTGGATGGTGGCCCCTGGGCAAGGAGGGTGGTGGATGGTGGCCCCTGGGCAAGGAGGGTGGTGGATGGTGGCCCCTGGGCAAGGAGGGTGGTGGATGGTGGCCCCTGGGCAACGGGGGTGGTGGATGGTGGGGTTGGGGGGGACAGCAAGGGAGAGGTGATGGAGGGAAGGTGGGAGCATACGGGGAACCAAGAGGCGGTGGTGCGGAGGGTAAGGAAGTGGAAGGCACGAGTCATGAGTGTGGGCAGGTGTGTAGGCAGGTGTGTGGGCAAGTGTGTGGGCAGGAGTGCAGTAGAGACAGTGGGGGCGCTGCAGAGGAGAGTCAGGGTGATGCTGGGCTGTTGGAGAAGGAGGTGAAAGAGTGGGTGGAGGCGGCGTGTGCGGTGAGGGAGGAGGGCGAGTGGATGGTGGTGGTGGCGTGTGAAGACACGGGCGGTGGTATTCCACCCGAGGAGCTGCAGTGGGTGCTGCACCCACACGGACAGTCGAGCCACTCAATGAATGACAGTGAGGAGGAGTATGGAGATCTCAATGGCAAGGGGCAGCAAAATCTCATGGTCAGTTCCTTGTTGTTGCATGCCTTTTGAGGCGCCTCAAAAGGCAGCAAGAAATCATGATATATCGCCTGCATCCTTTTTTACCTCGACTCTTAACGTTTTCTTTGTTTCCTCGCTTCCTCGTCTTTCAAACATCTCAGGAGAAAATCACATTTTTTGGGAGGTCAGAATCACAAAGATCAGCAGGGAGTTTATCACCGCAGCGGCAGCGGGAGCGAAGCACCTGAGATCCATTGCAGCGAGATGGCAAAGCAGCTACTGGCCCCCGCTGGATGCCCTACCCTGTTCGCTTCCTGCTCTCCACGTCCCTTGTAAGTGTCTCGATCTCCTCTGTAAGCTCCCTACCATGCTCGTGTGACATAGAAATTGTTTGCAAATGGCATAAATGTTCCTTGCCTAGTGGTGCCTTCTCCCTCCTCTACGGATTGCTACCTACCTTCCATTTTCTCCACTCGACTGACGTACCTTCCATATTCCACTTCCCATTTTCCCTCTCCATCTCCATCCGCATGGCAGGTGCCGGAGATGCGGGGGGGGCATGGCAGTACTGTTCACTTCATCACTCCCGTGGCCCACTCTTATCTTTCCCCCCACAGGTGCCGGAGGTGCGGGGGAGCATGGCAGTGCTGACGCCCCCTCTCTGCATCCATTCTCCCCTCTCCTGAACCCCCCCTTTGATGCCTCTTCTTCTCCTTGCTGGCATGGCAGGTGGCGGAGATGCGGGGGGGCATGGCAGTGCTGTTCACTTCATCACTCCTGTGCCCCACTCTTATCTTTCCCCCCACAGGTGCCGGAGATGAGGGGGAGCATGGCAGTGCTGACGCCCCCTCTCTGCATCCATTCTCCCCTCTCCTGAACCCCCCCTTTGATGCCTCTTCTTCTTCTTGCTGGCATGGCAGGTGGCGGAGATGCGGGGGGTTATGACAGTGCTATCAGACCTACTTTCTAATCTTGCCCTTTCCCCCCATCTCTCCACTCTATGCCCCCACGCATGGCAGGTGGCGGAGATGCGGGGCGCCATGGCAGTGCTGTCAGATGCCGCCACAGGCACCACCATTCTGCTGGCGCTGTCCATGGGGGGAGGGGAGGACGCCGGCAGCACGGGAGTTGCGGAGGGGAGCAAGGAGGAGAGTGAGGAGGGAGTAGGGGAGTTGGGGGGGGCTGGTGAGGAGCGAGTGGAGCGAAAGAGCTGGTCGAATGGAGGCATGGAGGGGCCACCCAGTGCTGCAGCGCCTCTCCCTCACGCTCTTGCTGTGGCACTACCAGCGTCGCCACCGCACACACAAGCAGCAGCAGCAGCCCAGCCAGCCTCGCCGCTGGTGCGGGCACGCACATTCCCAGAAGCGGAGTTGGAGAGGGCCGTGGGGGAGGCGGAGCGGGTGGTGCGGGCGGTGGTGGCGGGGCGGCGGGTGGCGGTGGTGGATGACAACGCGGTGAACCGCATGGTGGCAAGGAGAACGCTGCAGGGCTACGGGGCGCACGTGCTGCTGCTGCCCTCCGGGGAGGACGCACTGCAAGCGCTCTCCTCTGCCACGCCCTCCCCGCCCATCCACCTGCTGCTCCTTGACCTCCACATGCCACCCGGCATCGACGGGTGAGTGACTAAGTTCACCTCTCCTTAACCTCTTATTCCCCTCTCCTTCACACCGCTCTTCTCCCCCACCTCTCTGCTCCTCTTTTTACTTCATCCATGCTATGTTCTCTTTGCATCTTGGTGATATCATTTCCAGTTGCTCTTGCCTCTCTCTGGTATGCTCTTGTTTTGTCCTGTCTCGCTGGTCCCTTGCGGCATTTTTTCTGCTTGTCCTTTTCTGCGCATGCTTCTTTCTTTCTCCTCATTTGTTCTTTTTGCTGTCTGGGTGCAACAGATTTGAAACGGCTCGTCGGGTGCGTGCCATTGAAGATGCACAGCAGATGAATGAAACGGATCCAACTGTAGATGATGCAAGCACAGTAACACATGCATCAAGGCAGCGGCTTTGCATAATAGCATTGACTGCAGACTTGGATGCAGGGATCAAGAGAGCATGCTTGGAGTCTGGGATGGATGGAGCAGCAAGGAAGCCAATTATGGTTCAGGAGCTCGCTGCAGTGTTCTCTGCTGCTGGGCTCTCCTAGTAGTAACAAATGAAGACTACCCCCCTATATTATAACTGTAATGTGTATCGTCCATATAAATAAAAGAAGCTTTGGGCGAGTTCCTACGCCTCATATAAGGCAAACCTCGTAACTTGCAATACAAAATGTTAATACGTTTTTTTCAATACTGATATTGCAAATATCTTGTACCTACGGTAAGGTCGTCTTCTGAATTATATAAGATGAAAATGTAAAAACTTAATGTAAAAACTTTTCATACCTTTGAAGTCATCCCAGCTAAACTTTGTATATCGTATAGATCCGGCTAGAAGATCCGGGGGACTCTCTATATAGGTCCTTTATTTTTCTCGCAGAAATCCCTCGCTTAGCACACCACGTGCGTGACGTCGCCAACAACACGCGGCAAGGTACAATGCACGAGGGCGGATTGAACGCCACAAAACACGCACCGCACAGCATCTTGACGGAATCGACCGTCAATATGTCCACGTCACGGGGCCTACGAGCAGCCCATCTCGTGTCAGTGGCAGGAGAGGCACGGAACGTGGTGCACTACGGTTTCACGTCTCCAGCCTGTCGAGCACGGGAGCCCTGGTGGTTCATTTTTCTCTATTCCGTGTCTCGGATCCAACTCTGCCACTCTTGCTTCATAACCAACTACAAAGCACGCTATGGCAGCTGCCACTCAAGCAAGCAGTTGCTAGTAGAACACTAACAGCTTCATTCAATATCTATTCACGAGATCTCATGGCATACGCGCCGTTCTAGCTTAGGCAGTTTGTCTGGCCAGCCTGCTATCGTGCTCATCACAAGCCCGGCCCCGCCAGCTCCTCCTGCACCTCCCACTCCTCCGGCCCCTCCGGCTCCTCCTGCGCCTCCTGCGCCCCCTGTGCTTCCATCCTGGTCGACTGGCGCAACAACCCTCTGTTGGACCCTCTCAAGAACGAGGGGTTTGCTCAACCCGCCGCCGCTTGGGATGACGACAATGCGGGTGACGACGATGTGAACCATGATGTCGGCAATCTCCGAATCCCACGCTTTCCGGAGGACCTCATGCACGACAAGAATGGTCCGCGGTCCAGATCCGACGCCATCGAGTCCCCGCGAACGGACCATTACATACAGTCGCAAGGCCCATACGATGGGTGAGAAACAAGATTGGCTCGCGCGGATGGAGGCGGAGAAACTCTCCGTCCGCCACATGGCACGTCTGGCGGGGGTGCAACCGGTCAGTGTCTGCTGGTGGATTCGGGCGGCAGATCGGATAAAAAAAGCAGAGTGCTCCAGGCGGCACCTCAGCGGTGGCGGGAGGAAGGCTAAGTACCCCGACATGGAGGCGCACGCCTACAAGCGCATGCTTAACTTCTGCGGCCATGGCTTGGCCGTTCCGATCCGCCTCGTCAAGCATTGGAGCAGGGTCTACATGAAGGCCCACTACCCCGACGTGAGGTGGATGGCGTCCAACAGGTGGACGTACCGATTTCGCGTGCGCATGGGACTCTCCATCCGCATGAAGACGAAGATTGGCCAGCGTCTCGCAAAAGGTAAGACGTTTGTGTGTATCGCGGCCTCTTAGTGCATGCTCTTTGTGCTGTTATGCATGTGACAGCGATGTTATACCCAAGCCCATGGCTCATCAACATGAATCTTATCTTGCGCGTTCGTGGCAGAGTGCAAACCGAAGTGCCTATAGTTTTGGGAGTTAACACGCAAGAACATCATCAAGCACAGCATCGACGCTTGGAACATCATAAATGCCGGTCAAACGCCGGTGTTTTTGGAGATGCCGAACGAGCGCACCCTTCAATACCGCGGGGAGAAGACGGTGCATGTCAGGAGCGCGGGATATGAGAAGGAGAGGGTTACGGTGATCCTTGGCATCAGCACTGACGGCCGCAAGCTCCCTGCCATGGTGATTTTTAAGCGCAAGACAATCCCGAAGATTCGGGTCCCCATAGGTGAGTTGCAGCCGTTAAGGGTTTAGGGTTTAGGATGTACCCCATGCACAACCCAAGGGATGGATGGACGCCAAGCTTGTGGATGACTAGGTGAACAACATCTTGCTGTCGTTCATCAAGCCCCCGCGTGGCATCCGACGGTCCAAGACAATGTTGGTCCTAGACTCGTACCGGGGCCACCTCACCGATGTCGTGCTCACCAACTTGAAGTGGAACCGGGTGATCCAGGCCATCATCCCAGGGGGCTGCACTCCTCTGCTGCAGCCCCTTGACGTGAGCGTGAACCGCTCATTCAAGGCGCTGCTGAGTGAGATGTACAACGAGTGGTTTGCCGAGATCGGCATCAACACGTTCACAAAAGCCGGTGAGTGGGCCGGTTACGCATGTGCTTCTTCTAACCCGTTTGTGTAAAAAACCTCCTGTCTCCCCCTGTGCTTCTTTCTGTATGTACATGTGCGTGGCAGGGAACTTGAAGAAGCCCCCTGCCGAAATGCTGCTCAAGTGGATTGCGGCCGCTTGGGCGGCGGCTCCCGAGCACATCATCGAGAAGGACTTTCACCACCGAAATCAACAACTATGTCGACGGGAAGCAGGATCACCTAGTCTTGGCCCACATGCGCGATGCAGGCGAGGTCGAGGTGGCACAGGACGTGCACGTCGCCCCTGAAGTGGAGGAGTGGGTGAACCCCCTCTATGCAACTGCCGCAGATGACGAGGAGGCGGCAAAGGTGGTGGATGTCGAGGATGCCGGGGACCTCCCTGAGGAGGAGGAGGAGGAGGAGGAGGAGGAGGAGGAGGAGGAGGAGGAGGAGGAGGAGGAGGAGGAGGAGGAGGAGGAGACGACGACGACGACGACGACGACGACGACGACGACGACGACGAGGACGAGGAGGAGGAGGGTGGGCTGGAGGAGAACGTGGACGAAGAGTGAGGAGTAGGGGAGTGGCAGAGATGTATGGGCCTTTCAAGAGTGAAAGATGCTAGATTAGCCACTTTGACTTTGTAATGTCTAGATTTAGGGTGAAACATTCATAGCGATGTGTGTGCAAGTTTAACAATCTAATTCACCACATTGAAATGGGCACATTAGGGAAGGGGGGGGGCTAATGATGATTAGAGTCCAAGGGGGGGTCCTCACAATATCTGCCACAATAAGAGTCCCCCTACCCGTTCAAGAGTCCCGGGGGACCTTCTTACAGGCGGGTCTTCTAGTCGGAACTATACGGTAATTCCATTATTGGCAGCCCTCTACATCCAGCACGGCGCAATCAAATGTGTTGCGATGCGACTGTGGTTCTAGCGTATTAGGGCGTGTAACCATTTTGCCCCTGACGGTTCGCACCGTGGACCGTCCGGGTGGACGAAGGGATACCATTTTTCGTATAATGTCGTCATTGTGTTCGTGAATGCTTGTGCGACGTGGCGAACAATTTGAATTGTCGTGACACATTTTCCTGTTTCCAACGGTTCCAAAAGCGAACCGTGAACAGTCTGAAACCCAAATGGACGGCCCAAGAATCCTGACCAGTGATTGGCGGACAAAATCAAATGTATAGTACTTTGAAGAATTGGTGCACGAACATCAAGTGCGAGGTGTAGCGAGTCAAGTTACGACGATACAAAGCCGTTTACGAAGATACAGTAATCGCGAAACTATACATTATGAAAAAAAGTGTCACATTTCTATACAGACGGGCCAAAATTGCGAAACGTCAATACGGGGGGTTCCGTTCTCGATTTTGGACCGTCCGTAAGAACACAAGAAAATCAAAATGGTTACACGCCCTTAGGGCGTGTTACATTTTCGATTTTTCCGGACGGTTCGGACATTTACCACTCTGAAACGTATTGAAACCCACTTGAACAGAGTTGTTTCCAAATAGACCATTTTAACGTTCTGACGGTCCGGACAGTTTGAGAAAAAAACGAAAATGTAATACGCCCTTAGACTCAAACTCGACTCTTGCGAAAACTCCCGACTTGTACAAGCACCTTGCAACAGTTCTGACAGACAGCTATTTGGGAACTTTTGCCGTGAGTGCATCGACATCCAACAAACACCCCACCAATCCATCAACCTTTCCCGTCCGCCACCGACGTCCGTCAGAAGGCAGATGGACGTGGGTTGAAATTTATTAGGCACTTTGGACTAGCGTACAACAGGGGGGGTGGCTGAGCGCACGCTGATTAGCTCCATCCATCCGAAAGCATCCATGGATCGCTCCGAGCTCTCCGCCATCAAGCAGCCATGGATTTTACCGAGCTTGACCAAGTCAGCGTACACGTTACAATGCTCTCACGAAGCGTCTGCTGCTTTAACCTGCATCGCTTTTAACACTTCCAATGGAATACCAGCCATTTATGCTGGCCTTGGTTTCTCCGGTTATAAGGCGATACTGCACAACGTTTCCAAGGCATTCCCAGGGTCGCGACTACGCCATGCTCCAAGATCTAAGATATACAATTCTGCATTCAATGGCTTCAACACTACCCCACAAGCTATTAAGGAATATGACTCCGAGGTTGCAACCTCGGGATTTCAGCATTATCAGCAGGAAATATTGGAGCCAAGCTCCTACTACTTAAGTCGGTGCTCAGTCTTCAGGCTCTTCATTTTTTCTCAGCAAACACCAGTCCATCGCCTGGTGTTTATTCGCCTAGTTCAGATCATCATCGCACCATGTCGCACCCTGCTGATGTCCCAGTGCTGCCTAAGGGTCAGCGTTCGCGTCCTGCTAACGATCCGCTGGCTTCGAATGCTCTGTCAGGGGAAGATCAGCAAACAAGTTGTGTTCATGTTAACGCAGCAAGCAGCATATCGACGGGTGACAATGCTGCTGCTAAGACTGCTGACAATGCTGCAGGCAAGACCGGCAACAATGCTCCTGTGGCTGGTGGTTCAGGACTCACGGTGGCTGACAAGGCTGACATGTCGGCTGTTGACGCGGATGGCTTCATTGATGACGACTCCGACGATGAGATGCTGATTGATGACAGGGAGGCCGGCTTCAGGCTTCGGTCGATTGCTATCGTGCTCATTCCATTCATGCTTGAGAAAGAGATCTCCTGTGTGATTGATGCAGTCAAGGCACTAATCAAGCATGGATGGTATTCAGATTTATCAGCTGATGCGGCGAAGACGACGAAGTTTCAGGAACTGCAGACGGCCTATGTTGCCAAGACCCGTTATTGTCGTCTGCAAGTTTCCTTTGCCCTGGAGTCCGATGCTGCTTGGGTGCGCAACAAAGAAGTGATTTATCAGCCGCTTAAGAATCAGGGTCAACTTATCACTTTGCATTGGCAACATACTGAAGATCCAACTTATGCTCGTGAGAAGGCGCTGAACCCGCACGCGATTGAAGTCATGATCAAAGGAGTGTCAGCGGCTGTTGAACTGGACATGATTCATGACCGACTGGCGACCTACAAGCTCAAGAGTACCGGTCTGTCAGCCTTCCTCAGATGCACCTGTCTTCATCGCGTGCTTCACCCAGTCACTGGTGCTGATACGGACGTGGTGAAAGGGTTGGTTTACGCTCACCCGAGTAATCAGAAGCGTCGTTGGATTCATGCGGTTGCTGACCCTGCCGATCGCGCGAAGCAACTCCTGGTCCATTATCCGGCCTTGTCCTGCATGCTCTGTGGTGGCAAACACTATAATAAGTATCATAATGTTTTCATTTCTGAACGTCAGAACAATGTCAGTAAATGGAATCTCACCTCTTGGAAAGATTCACAGGCTTAACGGTAAAAGCTGCTGCAAGCTCTCTCGCCGCTGGCTCTCGCTTTTCTTCGCTGCTCGCACTAACCTCTCTCTTGACTCTCGCAGCTGCGTCGCTGAAGGCGTCCGCGCTTTTTCTTCCGCTTCTCCGGGATCCTGCCATTGCCTTAGTTTCAACCAACAGCAACAGGGAAGACTGGATTTGCACCCAGGGTGGCTGCGGAAAAGCGAAGGGGAAAAGTTTCATGGCTGCTGTAGATCACATCAACACAGCTACTCACCTGCAGCAGTTGATGAAAGCAGGATCTGCCACGAAAGAGTCTCTGGACAAGAATCTCAAAGCGTTACAAAAGGACTATGGTCTGTGACGGATCTTGACCGATACCTGCGTATTGCCACCTGTTGGAGTCTTGGAGTTAGCCTTACCTGTGTAGTATCCTTTTACAGCCTGTGGATGACGAGGGGCTGCAAGGCAGTGACCCAATGATTAATAAAAACCACCTCACCATCGCGAGCCTGAACGTTAACGGTTTAGGCAACAGAACGAAACAAGACCGAGTTACTGCATGGATGAGGAAAGCAGCAGACATCGCCGTCTTAGTAGACACCAGAATAGCCAATAGCCACTCATACTGATCTAGACTTAGCCCTTACAAAGTTATAGCATCGCCTCCAGCAGCCAGTGCGGGAGGGGTAGCCATCCTCTGCAGCGACCAGAACATTACCTTCCAAGATAGAGAGACCCACTCATCTGGTAGAATAGTTCAAACCACAGTTAAAGGAGCCGGAGTGGATCTCACACTGGTAGCTGTCTACTTACCTCCTCACATCACTCCAAGATCCTCCTTCATTAGAGACACCCTTGGCCCTGTCATTGATCAGATCCCTACCTCCTCCCACCTTCTGATAATTGGTGACCTGAACCTGACGGACGATTCAAAATTGGACAGATCCTCTGGCTCCGGCTCGTCGGCAGAGAATGATAAGCTCCTACTGCGTTGCGCCAGCTTTCAGCTGTCCGACGCCTTCTGCACCTTGCACCCGCGAGACAGAGAGTACACCTTTTATGCACACTCACATTGCTGCAGCACTCGCATAGATCGCGCGCTTGTTTCACAGTCGCTGCTCACCCACTTGTCCATTGCCAGGCATGATAGGCCAGACGAGCCGGTCTCTGATCATGGTTTCGCGATCCAAGTCGCCTTCCGATTGGATGAGAAAATCTGCACTGGGCCGGAGATATGGAGGCTACATGCCTCTATGGTACGAAGGCCGGGGGTGAGACGGATCATTGATGCGACAGTTCGGAGAACTCCAGTCAATGACGGCAGCAGTTTCGAGCTCCTGATTGCACGCCTGGGAGCAGGTTTGCGGGCTTATGCAAGGGAGGAGAGCAAGAGGGTTAAGAGAACCATGACGCATCTTACTAATGCAGTCGCAGTCCTGAAGCAGGAATGGATGGGTAACCCGACCTGTAGTGTCATACGAGAGGCCCTGGAAGCAAAGGAGTCGCAGTTGAAAGCGTATCAGGAGGCACGTAGGGAAAGATTGCACCTGCAGGCTGGCTTGTCGGAAGAGCTAACCGGGGAAGTAGCTTCGAGACACCTGTCGGCGAGGGTTCGTGCAAGGAAGGCTCGCACGCAAATCACAGAGTTGATAGAGGGGGGTAACACGGTCACGAGAGCGCAGCAGATTCTTGATGCTGCGTCGGCTTTTTTCAACCGCATCTTCGGAAAGGACCGCCGAACGGACTTCTCCAACTGGGAATTCAACCCGTGCAGGCGGCTGGGAAAAGAAGCAGAGGAGATCCAAAAGGCCTTCGATTCAGTCTCGCGTGACTTTTTGTTCCAAGTGCTCCGACAGATGGGGTTCCCGGACAGATACGTCGCCTGGATTGAAGGTCTGCACGAAAACACCACGACAAGATTACTGGTTAATGGTTGGCTTGGTGACGGGATGAGCGTGGTCTCTAGAGTCCGTCAAGGGTGTCCACTTACGCCTTACCTTTTCTTTTGCGCGGTGGAGCCACTGGCTCAGGAGGTTGAAAAGGAGAATCTCGGGCTCAGCAAGGACGGGCAGCAGCTTGGGTATGTCGGCTATGCTGACGACACGACGCTCATCCTGCACGGGGCGGAACAAATTGTTAAAGCGGAAGCAGTCTTAGACAGATTCGAGAAGGTGTCTGGTCAGGCTACTAACAAAGGGAAATCGATTGTC